CGGTGTCCCCGGGGGGAGCCCAAACGCTCCCCCGCGGTGGCCCGGCTGAGGGGAGCAGCACTCAGCACCACAGTGGGAGGGGAAGGGGTGGCAGGGTGGCCACGCACATAGCCCCGCCCTCTGGCCGTGTACATCACCGCCCCACCCCCTTCCCTCGCGGCAGCCCAGCTAAGCAGGCAGCACTCAGCTGAGTGCCACGGCCGGAGGGGAAGGGGAACGGGAACAGGGGTGGGGAGAGATGGAGGGGAGAGAGAGGAGGAGGAGGAGAAGAGAAAAGGAGAGTGAGAGGCAGGAGGGGGAGGAGAGCTGAGAGAGGGGAGGAGGCAGTAGGAAGAGAGAAAGAGAGAGAGACAGAGCGAGAGAGCTCAGGAGAGAAGACCTGAAAATCCCGTCTTATGACAGGCTAATTGGCTAATTTTATAATAACTAGTGATGTTCTGAAATAACAGAACATCTACACAGCAGGCAGTTATTTCAAAATAGTGTCAAAACAGTGTCAAACCTAAGGAGTTATTACTCCAGTTCTGGTACCCCACATTTTATGAGGAGTAAGGGAAGTCAGAGGACGAGGGCTCTGTTTTGAAATAAGTGCTATATAGACTTTCCCAATTTTGAAATAAGCTATTTTGAAATAAGTTATGCAATTAACATAGCTCAGTGTTATCACCAGAGAACAGCCCCTTCCTCTCTGTGTGGGAAAGTTATCTGTGATGTCAATTTTGTATTTGAAATGGCTTTTCATCTCGACTTTTACTTCAATTTTACATTTTTTTCAATTAAAAATCTTTTAAATAAAAGGAAATTAAAAGTTTCATTTCAATTATACTTAATCCTGTGTCAGCCTGGGAAGATGGATTAGATGGCTTTCTAGGGACATACCTAGCATTACAATTCTATGATTTTATTATATGATTTTACATCAAATGAAATGTGAAATGTTATTCAGATTTACTTCTTCATTTGCTGAAATTTGTTAAAAAAAATTGCGTGTCAACCTGAAACTTGTGGAAGATAATAATGTCATAGGTAACAATATTTTCATCAACGATTTAGATATTGACATAAAGAGTACGCTTATTAAGTTTGCAGATGATACCAAGCTGGGAGAGGTTGCAACTGCTTTGGAAGATAGGGTCATAATTCAAAATGAACTGGACACACTGAAGAAATGGTCTGAGGTAAACAGGATGAAGTTTAATAAAGACAAATGCAAAGTGCTCCACTTAGGAAGGAACAATCAGTTTCATACATACAGAATGAGAAGCGACTGTCTAGGAAGGAGTCCTGCAGTTCTAGGGATCATAGTGGACCACAAATTAAACATGAGTCAACAGTGTGACACTTTTGCAAAAAAAGCAAACATGATTCTGGGGTTTCATTAACAGGAGTGTTGTGAGCAGGTCACAAGGGCTATGTCTAGACTGGCCAGTTTTTCTGGAAAAACTTGCCAGCTGTCTACAGTGGCTGCTTGAATTTCTGCAAAAGCACTGACTTCCTACTGTAAGAAATCAGTGCTTTTTGCGGAAATACTATGCTGCTCCCGTTCGGGCAAAAGTCCCTTTTGCACAAAGCTTTTGCGCAAAAGGGCCAGTGTAGACAGCTGAGATTTGTTTTCCGCAAAAAAGCCCTGATCGCAAAAATGGCGATTGGGGCTTTTTTGTGGAAAAGCGCGTCTAGATTGGTAAGGATGCTTTTCCGCAAAAAGTGCTTTTGTGGAAAAGCGTCCGTGCCAATCTAGACGCTCTTTTCTGAAAATGCTTTTAACGGAAAACTTTTCCGTTAAAAGCATTTCCAGAAAATCATGCCAGTCTAGACGTAGCCAAGAAGTTATTCTTCAGCTCTATTCTGCACTGATTAGGCCTCAGCTGGAGGATTATGTCCATTTCAGGATACCTCATTTCAAGAAAGAGGTGAAGAAATTGGAGAAGGTCCAGAGAAGAGCAACAAAAATAATTAAAGGTCTAGAAAACATGCCCTATGAGGGAAGACTGGAAGAGGTGGGCTTCTTTAGTTTAGAAAAGAGAAGACTGAGAAGGGCCATGATAGCAGTTCTCAAGTGTTACAAGAAAGAAGGAGACAAATTATTCTCCTTGACTTCTGAGGGCAGGACAAGAAGCAATGGGCTTAAACTGCAGCAAGGGAGGTTGAGGTTGGACATTAGGAAAAACTTCCTAACTATCAGGGTGGTGAAACACTGGAATAAATTGCCCAGGGAGCTTGTGGAATCTCCATCACTGGGGATATTGAAGAGCAGGTTAGATAGATGTCTGTCAGGGATGATCTGGGCAATGCTTAATCCTGTCCTGAGGGCAGGGGACTGGACTTGTTGATCTTGCAAAGTCCTTTTGGGTACGTCTACACAGCGGAGATATTTTGGGATACTGAGGTATCCTAAAATAACTATCCAATGTCCAAGGAATGCGCCTGTTATTTTGAAATATTTTTCAAAACAACTGATGTACTATTCTGCCATCCCTCTAAACCTTATTGCACAAGGGTTAGGGGATGGCTCAAAATAGTGCTTTATTTTGAAATTTGGTGCTGTGTAGATGTGCCGAATTTCAAAATAGTCTACACAATACGACACGCAATTTGCATAGAGCAAATTGCTTATCTTATTTTTAGTTTAGGGTGCAGTGTAGATGCATCCTTCCAGTTCTAGTGTTTTATGATTCTATCTAAAAATAAAATAAATATTTCTATTATTATAATTGGCACTACCACCAAACTGAAGAATCATTTATTCACACAGTTCTTACAAGCAGTTGAAGCAATAAGTGTTTCAATTTATGGGCCACATTTGTGTAAAATCTTACAATGGTGATCAAAACACAGTAATTTACCATTGTATTCTTTAAGATGCCATAGCCTTTTAGAGTTGGTCAATACATTTTTTTCTGAAATTTCATTAAAAAATTAGCTCTTATAAGTTGGTCAAAAAACAGCAAAAGTTCATGACAATGTACAGAATTTTTGCAAAAAGTATTCATCTATTCTTCATACTCCAGTCTCCAGTTTTTCACTTGTCACAATCTCTGCATTATGCTCATTCCACTTTTGTTTTTCTCTCTTGCTGTCCTGATCTAGTTATAAGGAAAATGAAGATTTCCTCCTTCCCTCATGGCCCTGTAATGAGTTCCTCTCTGCCTGACTACATCATGTTCTTTATTATTTTGTCTGTTCACCAAGTAGACTCAGGTAAGAAATTCCCATTCTTCACTGTTCATTCTGCTCTCTTGATAGATAGATTGATGTGTGTTAATTTCAGTTTTTAGGAACATTTATAATGACATTTATACATAATCAAATACAAACTATAACTGCAAACTACTTTGGAAAAAAATTATCCCACTCCATCTAACTAAATAATTCTTGACTCAATTTGTCCTTTCCCAAAATCTAGGGGAATAGTTAGGTCTGGAGTCAGCCAAAAGGAGGAGCAAAGAAAGCTGAAGAATCAAGGGCCTGTCACTGAAAGTTTCCAAACACTCCATTTAAACTAGAGAGCTGTTCCCTCAAGTGACCCAGCTGGTGTGATCTGCCATGGTATGATGTAGAGAGGCAATACAATCTCTTATGTAGTCAAGCCCTAAGGCCTGTCCAAACTATGAAGTGGATTGACACTGCAGGGATCGATCAGTCGACACTGCCTGTCGATTTATCGAGTCTAGTAAAGACCCACTAAATTAACCTACGTGGTGCCCCTGGTCTTTACCTTTTAGGAGGTGGAGGGTTTCTACTCCTTGGGGCTGTCCCTTTCCTTTGTGAGACAGTAGCAAACAGGGTGATTATATGACTATCCATATCCCCTAATCCAGGGGTCGGGGCAATAATTTTTTGTGAAGGGTCAGGCCAAGATTTTGGTAAGTGGTGAAGGTCTGCACTTTTCTGTGGAGAGGCTGCAGGGTCTGGGGTGGAGGTTGGTGCAGAAGGGAGCTTGGGGTAGGAGACTAAGGTGCAAGGGTACGTCTACACTACAACGTTAATTCGAACTAACGGATCCAGACTAAAAAACTAGTTCGAATTAGCGTTTTCCTAATTCGAACTAGCATGTCCACATTAAGTGGACCCTGAACCAGGCTTAAGGATGGCCGGAAGCAGTGCCGGTAGGGCATCAGAGGAGGACTTAGAGCGTGGAGATGCTGTCTCAGGCTAGCCGAGGGGTCTACACAGCCCTTAATTTGAACTAGTAAGTTCGAACTAGGCTTAATCCTCGTGGAATGAGGATTACCTAGTTCGAACTAAGCGCTCCGTTAGTTCAAATTAAATTCGAACTAACGGAGCGCTAGTGTAGCGCCTAGGAAAGTTAGTTCGAACTAACGTCCTTTAGTTCGAACTAACTTTGTAGTGTAGACATACCCCAAGAGAGGGGTCTGAGAGGGAGTTTTGGTGAAGGAGTGGTGTTTGATCTGGGGTAGGAGATTGGGGTGCAGAGTCTGAAAGGGGGCATGGGTGCAAGAGTGGATTCTGCCCTGGGGAAGGGGTATGGGAGTTGGTGGAAGGTCTGGGGGGGGAGTTATGACTTGGAGCATGGGGGAGGAGGGTACATAGGATTTGGTTATGACTTGATGTAGTTGATTGGAATACAGGATCAGGGACAGGGTATGAGTGAAGGAGAGGAGTCTGGTCTGGGGGAGGATTTAGAAGGAGTGCAGGAAGGGCTGGAGTGGGAGGGATTTGGGGTGCAGGAGGGCCTGGAGTGCCAGAGGCCAGCTGTGGCTGAGAGGCGCTTACCTAAGCAGCTCCCGGGCCAGCAGCAGCCTCAGGCAGGCTTCCCTGTGGGCAGCCCCAGACCCGCTGGCTGGCTGTGCATGTGGCTTTCTGTGCTCCAGGAAAGGAGAGGGAGGGAGAGACTTTCCTCATGCCCTCACCCCCAGGATAATCTCTCAGCTTCCATTGGTCACTTTCCAGCCAATAGGAACAGAGATTTTGCTGAGGACAGGGTGCTGTCCCACCCCCACCATCCCCACAGAACAGAGAGCCACAGGGAGCAGCCAGCCGCTGAAAGGGTGGGATGCAGGTCAAATAAAAAGGCTTGATGGGCAGGATCTGGCCCACAGGCCATAATTTGCCTGCCCCTGCCCTAATAGGTTTATCTCCAAGCCATTCTCTATGAATTTAGGCATGTGTAAAGCTTCCCACTCTTCTATTTGGTATGGCCTTGGAACCATTGACTATAGGCATTGGATCCCATCTACATACCTCTTGACTTTTCTCAGCAAGAGTGTTAACCAATGTTACATGAGTCACTCTTTTCCACCCCACAAATCATGAGAGCTCTGTTCTTGATTTTACCAAATTGCTGTACCAAATATTTTAGTTTGTTATTGCAGCTATTTCTTCTATTCCTAAGGGGGCTGCCTGAAATACTACTTTGATCAATGGGGTTTTGGGTCAGGGCGAGAAGGAAGGTACGACAGGTTCAGCATACAGGGATAGTAGGACTGCCAGCATTATAGAGAAAAGGAGCATGTTTTCCCTGTTGCTCCACAGAAATTAGCAGCTGAAAGTGTACAGCTGTGGTACACAACACCGAGGGCAAAACATCGTCGGGGTGTGGGGGGGGGGGGGGGGGAAGTGGCAAATTGTTTCATTAGCACTTTGAAGTAATGTTTGTGATGTTAATGTTTTACTAAAGTAGGACTTTCTTTGTTTTGTTTTGTTTGGGGAGGTGTCTTATACATTTAGGTGAAAAGTATAGCACTCAAAAGTTAGGAAATGCCAGATTTAAGATTGCAGGTGCAACATTAATTCAGCTTCCTTGCAATACAGTGTGACATATTAATTGTCCATCATTCTCCTTCCTTTTGTAGTCAATACACAAGGGCTACGTCTACACTGGCCCCTCTTCCGGAAGGGGCATGTAAATTTCAGCAGTCGTCGTAGGGAAATCCGCGGGGGATTTAAATATCCCCCGCGGCATTTAAATAAAAATGTCCGCCGCTTTTTTCCGGCTTTTAAAAAAGCCGGAAAAGAGCGTCTAGACTGGCCCCGATCCTCCGGAAAAAGTGCCCTTTTACAGAGGCTCTTATTCTTACTTCAAAGTACTTCAAAGTACTTCAATAAGAATAAGAGCCTCCATAAAAGGGCACTTTTTCCGGAGGATCGGGGCCAGTCTAGACGCTCTTTTCCGGCTTTTTTAAAAGCCGGAAAAAAGCGGCGGACATTTTTATTTAAATGCCGCGGGGGATATTTAAATCCCCCGCGGATTTCCCTACGACGACTAGTGAAATTTACATGCCCCTTCCGGAAAAAGGGCCAGTGTAGACGTAGCCTAAATGTTTTGTATCTTATTGTCCAGTGGTCTTAAAACGGAACAGTTTTCTGTTATAAGTATTTCCGGGAAAAGAGCATCTACATTGGCAGGATGCTTTTCCGGAAAAGCCCTTTTTCCGGAAAAATCTCTGTGGCCAATGTAGATGCGCTTTTCTGGAAAAAAGCCCCGATTGTCATTTTCGCGATCAGGGCTTTTTTGCGGAAAAGACTACTGGGCTGTCTACACTGGCCCTTTTCCGGAACAGTTTTCCGGAAAAAGGACTTTTGCCCGAGCGGGAGCAGCATAGTTTTTCTGGAAAAACACTGACAATTTTACAGTAGATCGTCAGTGCTTTTCCGGAAATTCAAGGGGCCAGTGTAGACAGCTCGCAGCTTATTCCGGAAAAGCGGCTGCTTTTCCAGAATAAGTGGCCCAGTGTAGACACAGCAAGATGAATGGACCTCAGGGAATAAGGTAGCTGTGCCTCATTGCACAACTGAATGACCTGGTAGGCTTTTCTAGGGTGTTCATCACTGAATGAGTGTTTGATTCTCTTCTTCCTAATGTTAGAAAACAGAGCAGAGGACCCCAGCCATTATCTGAATTCCCTTAATCTGAAAATCCACAATGTGGCCCCCTCTCCCTCTGAGAACACTGGGTTTCAGATAGCAAGGACAGCAATTTACACAGTGAGTTTTATTCATGCTACACCCGTGCAATGAAAGCCTCTTCCCCCATGCTGAGTTGACAGCCATGGGAAGAGGCTGCATTTTCCGGTGGACTGGGGCTGCAGCAGGCAGGGAGCCCAGCCTGCCTTGGGTGTGCTGCAGCCTGCTGGCCAGGAGACACTTAGGTAAACTCCTCTCAGCCAGCAACTGCCTCTAGCACCCCAACCCCTCCCACAGCCCAACTCCCTCCCCCAGATCAGCATCCAAACCCTCTGCACCTTCTGCCCCAGGTCACAACTCCCACCCAGGCTTTGCACCCTCTCCTGCACCCTTCTCCAGGCAAGAATTCTCTCCTGCACCCACACTCCCTCCCTGACCCTATCCCCCAATCCCCTGACCCAGGTCACAATCCCCTCCTCCATCCAAACACCCTCTCAAACCCCACACCACCTCCTGCACCCCAGTCCCTTACCCCATGCGCCCTTCTGCACCCATCCTTGACCCCACACTCCCTCCACAGAAAAGTGCAGCCCTTGATCACTTACCAAAATCTTGGAGTGGCCCCCACCAGAAAATATTGCCGACCCCTGGTGTAGATGGAAGGGCACTGATGCCAGAGCATCATCTGTACAGTGAAAAGACAGTGAGGTTGGAGCATGCTCAAAGAAGATGGAATTTTAGAGATCATAACAGTGAACCTACACACACACATGCACACACACACACACACACACACACACACAAATGAGAAATAGACAAATTATCTGTATTAGCCATGTACACATGGTGATTTTCAGAGTTTATAACTTGGCCAGGTATGGGTGGGTTTTCTCAGGAATAACAAAAGTCACCACTTCGGGTACATCTACACAGCACCTTAAACTCAAAATCAAACTCTTATTCGATTGTATTTTGAAATTTGGCACATCTACACAGCACCAAATTTTTTAAATAACACACTACTTTGAGACAGTCCTTAGGCCTCATGGAACGAGGGTTACGGGGATGCCAAAATAGCATGCTCATTATTTCAAAAAATATTTTGAAATAATGGGAGCATTTAAAAGATAGCTATTTCCGAATACCTCCTGTATCTCAAAATAGCCCCACTGTCTAAATGTATCCTTTGATTCCCAGAGCTATGTGCCTGTCAGATTTTATGTCTCTGCTCCAGATATGAAGTTCCTGGATTGTCTATGGCTGCAATAGTTTAAGACTTTATTTTCATGTTAGTAAAACAATGCATTATTTCCTCATCATAGATGTGGTGAGTAGTTAGACCAGCTGTAATGAAATAGAACACATGATGTAATGATTACATTTTAATAAGACCCCTCCACTTTACATATTTATTTTCTCTGGCTCTGGCTACATTTCACAGCTCAATTTAAAGTGATTGGACCCAACCACCCTATCATGGCCACTGCAGGTGAGGACATTGTGTTATCCTGTCACCTCACCCCCAGGATAAGTGCTGAGAACATGGAGGTAAGATGGTACCGGTCCCACTTCCATTCACTCGTGCATCTGTATCGTGATGGGGACAATCAGAATGAAAGGCAAATGCCAGAATATCAGGGAAGGACAGAATTTCTGAGAGATGACATCACCAATGGAAGCATTGCTTTGAGAATACGTAGTGTCAGACCCTCTGATGAAGGACAGTACAGGTGCTTTTTTCGGTCAAGTGATTTTCACGAAGAATCAGTGTTGGAACTGAAAGTAGCAGGTCAGTAACTTTGACATTCTCCCCACCTTTTTATATTATCATGACTATATTATTTAGTCATATTGTAGCACTGAAAAAATCATTTGACACCTTCAGCATGCATCCCTCTGTATTACAAATTGTTCCCTCCACCCTAGACATCCTTAGAAATAAACTGATACCACCTCTCATGTGGCCATATGATCATACATGAAATAGCTGCTCTTAGTCACATAATGGGAATCTCAGATACAGTAAAGGAACGGTAAGAGTGAATTTCATATTCTTTATGGAAGTATGAATAAGACCATACATGACTAAAAAATTAATTATGCAAAATACTACTGAAGTTGGAAACTTCTAAAGGGTGGGGCTGCCAGCCCTGAGAACACCCCTATTTGTCATCTAAGAAGTCTGCTGGAAACACCTAAAACTGAGCAGCAAGGACTGGGCCCAAATTGGAGGCTTTCCATTCTGTGTAAGAAGTTTACTAGAACCACTTTTAGGGTAAGAGATAATATGTAACAAGTTTCTTAGGGTATTAAGCTTAGCTGCTGTGTTTCTTTTATTCAGATTAGTAACTTACTTTGTTCTCTGTGCTATTACATATAACCAGGGCTTGACAAATAGTGGCGAAAATTGCTTGCCAGCCCCGTACTGCGTATGCACAAGAGCCGCATTGTGCATGTGCGCGCTGCGAATGAACAGGGCGCGTGGCTGAAATCTATTCGCCACGGGCGAGTAGATTGTATTGTTTGTCGAGCCCTGCTTATAACCACTTAAATCCTACTTTTTATACTTAATACAATTACTTCTGTTTATTAATACAGCAATAAATTATTCAGTGAAAAGAAGGCATCTCGCTCCAATCTGCCTCTCTCAAAATTTTGTTTGTTTTGCACCAGGTGGGAGGGGGCTGAGAGGAATGAGTACAAAACCATGGTCATAAAGTGCCTAAACTTTTTTTGATCCTCAAGTCGAGCTATTCATAGAATCCCAGGGCTGGAAGAGACCTCAGGAGTCATCACGTCTAACCCCCTGCCCAAAGCAGGACCAACCCCAACTCAATGATCCCAGCCAGGGCTTTGTCAAACTGGGACTTAAACACCTCTAGGGATGGAGATTCCACCACCTCCATCTCTCATCAGAAAGTCTTCCAAGCACAATTAATTGAAATCCTCCCACTCAGCATCATTCAGCATATCCCATAAGAAAACATATTACCACACTCTCCAAAATTTATAATTAAGGGTCTACAAGGACAAGGAAATGGGTTGAGTTGGAGCTGGCCAAAAAATTAGATTTTGCTCCTAGAAACATTTTTACACAAATGAGAGATTTAATTTTAATTAAAAAATTTCCTTTGTAGTTTTCCAATTTTCACTGACCCTAGAAAAAGTTTCAAACCAAACACTTCAATTAGCTCTAAAATTAATTGATTACTTTAGGGCCTCTCTCAGGGTATGTCTACACTAGAAAGTTAGTTCGAACTAACGGACGTTAGTTCGAACTAACTTTCCTATGCGCTACACTAGCGCTCCGCTAGTTCGAATTTGAATCGAACTAGCGGAGCGCTTAGTTCGAACTAGGTAAACCTCATTTTACGAGGACTAACGCCTAGTTCGAACTAGCTAGTTCGAACTAAGGGCTGTGTAGCCCTTTAGTTCGAACTAGTGGGAGGCTAAGGCTTCCCAGGTTTCCCTGGTGGCCACTCTGGCCAACACCAGGGAAACTCTATGCCCCCCTCCCGGCCCCGGACCCCTTAAAGGGGCACGGGCTGGCTACGGTGCCCGTGCCAGGTGCAAGCCTGCCAGCACCCCAGGCCCAGGCTGGCGGCTCCCGGGAGCTTGCCCAGGACCGCAAGAAGTGGGCACCTTCCTGGGCTAGTGCAGACATAATGGACCTTGTCCACGATCTCTGCACTAGGCACAGGAAAGTGGCCGTCTAGGGCAGGAGAGCTGCCAGCCTGGCCACCCAGGACCAGGTGTGCATGAAAATCAAGGGGGTCCACTGAGACCCCCGACACTGAGCCCTGAGCTTACAATGGCCGTACTGGGTCAGACCAAAGGTCCATCTAGCCCAGTAGCCTGTCTGCCAACAGCGGCCAACCCTAGGGACCCTGGAGGGGATGGACCGAAGACAGTGATCAAGCCATTTGTCTCGTGCCATCCCTCTCCAGCCTTCCACAAACTTTGGGCAGGGACACCACTCCTACCCTCTGGCTAATAGGACTCCATGGACCCAACCTCCATGACTTGATCTCACTTCCCTTTAAACTCTGTTCTAGTTGTAGCCTTCACAGCCTCCTGCAGCAAGGAGTTCCACAGGTTAACTATTTGCTTTGTCAAGAACAACTTTCTCTTACTAGTTTCAAGCCTGCTACCCATTCCTTTCCTTTGGTGTCCTCTAGTCCTTCTTTATGGGAACTCATGAAGAACTTTTCTGAATGCACCCTCTCCACCCAACCCCTGCTTTTAGAGACCTCTATCCTGTCCCCCCTCCGTCTCCTCTTTTCTAAGCTGAACAGTCCCAGTCTCTGTAGCCTCTCTTCATCTGGGACCTGTTCCCAACCCCTGATCATGTTAGTTGCCCTCCCCTCTCCCAGCCTTTCTCTTCCCCTCTCCCACCTCCTTTTCCCAGTCTCCCCCAGTTTTTTTCAATAAAGACAGAGTCAATGTTGGAAGAAACGTTATCTTTATTTTGTACATCAATAAGAAGGGGGGCTAGGGAAGGGTAAGTGGAAGGAGGTGAGGGAGGAATGGGGTACGAGCCCCCGATGGGGAGGACTGGGCTGGCTCTGCGGGCTTCTGGGGGTGGAAGCTCTCCTGCAGCCCCCCAATTACTCCCTCTCCCCAGATGGCAGCCTGCGGCAAGTGCAGCCGGGCTGATGGCCGAGTGGTGTGATGTGCCCAGTGTGGGCACTCAGGGCACTCCAAGCCAGAACTTCTTTGCAAGCGGGGCACCCCTTAGAACTGTGTGTCCGGGGTGGGGGTCGGGACCCTTTAAGCGCAGCCCTCGGCTAGCCTGAGACAGTATCTCCATGCTCTAAGTCCTCCTTTTATGCCCTGCCGGCACTGCTTCCGGCCATCCTTAAGCCCTGTTCAGAGTCCACTCAATGTGGACTTACTAGTTCGAACTAGCAAAACGCTAGTTCGAACTAGTTTTTAGTTCTAGATGCGTTAGTTCGAACTAGCTTAGTTCGAATTAACTAATTCGAACTAAGTTAGTTCGAACTAGCGCTGTAGTGTAGACGTACCCTCAGAGAACATCCTTCCTCAACCTCCCCTCCCTACAGAAAAACATAGGAACTGAAGTTCAAGAGATCTGAAGTGTTTGATAAAAACCATACGCAGAGAGGTGGACCTTGAATTAGACAGAACTAAAATTTCACAGGGCTTAAGAAGATCAACCTGAAGTGATCAGAAAATGAGGGAACATCATACTGGAGGATGTGTTTAGAAAGAAAATTAAGAATGGGGTTTGCTACAGTATGGCCATTGTTTCCTGAATGATGAATACTAGGAATTCAGAGGGGAAACCCATTCATTCTTTCTAATAGGTATGGGTATGTCTAGATTATAGAGCTTTTCCGGGATACCTCCAGTAACCCAAAAAAGCTCTGCTGCATCCAAGGAACGCATCTGCTTTTCCCAAAAAAAAAAAAAAAAAAAAATCAGAAAAACAGACACTTTTTGGGCGTCCCTGTTAACCTCATTTTACAATGAAGAAGGGATGTTCCAAAAGAAGGTTTTTTCCCTGACATTTGGCCCTGTGTAGCTGGGCCAAATGTTGGAAAAGCCTCTTTCAGAAGAAAAGCAGAAAAAGATATGCAAATTTCAATTCTCAATTTGCGTGTCTTTTTCTGACTTTTCTTTGTAGTGTAGACACAACCTATGTCTATACTGCAGTGTTATTTCAAAATAACTAGTACTATTTTGAAATAATGGGTTTCTTACTCCAGCTCCTGTAACCCTCATTTCACAAGAAGTAAGGGAAGTTGAAGGGAGCGGGTTATTCTTTTGACTTCTTGCTATCTAGATGGAGGCAAAAGCTGAGTTAAGCTACTTTGATGTCAGCTATGCAATTAACGTAGTTGAAGTTGCATATCTTAATTTGACTCTGTCCTGCTGTGTAGACATGCCCTTGGAAACTTATGTATTTATATTTTATACTGAATATTCATTTAAACTGTGTTAGGTCTAGATGCTAATTTATTCATTTTTCCTTCAGGTCTGGGATCTACTCCTCTCATCTCTGTTGAGGGTCACCAGGATGGAGGGATTCGAATGGTGTGTCGATCAGCTGGGTGGTATCCAGAGCCCAAGGTGCTGTGGAGAGATCCCAGTGGACAGCTTTTAACATCTTTGTCAAAAACAACATCTCAAGGGGCTAATGGCCTGTTTGAGACCCAGAATTCTATCATTATAACAGAGACTTCTAACCAGAACCTGTCCTGTCATATCAGGAACACCCTCCTCAACCAAGAAAAGGAGTCAACGGTTTATGTAGCAGGTCAGTTCCATCCAAATCACATTCTCACACAATTAATAAAACATAAAATAAAAATGGGTTAAATAGATTTTGAATGATCAATACAATAAAAGTATGTGAAGGTCTCGTGAGGACTAATCCTTTTCATTAATGACTATGAAAATGTTAAATGTCAGACACTTCGTCATCTCTTGTCCATGATGAAATAGCAATGTGACACTTCCTTGGCGGGCCTGTGATTGTGAGTCACCATGTTACCACCTGTCTCCAGGAGAGAGTGCTAAGCTGGGTGTCAGCCCCGGGATACCACCAGGCTATCTCCCACACAAACAATCTTCTCAGGGCTCTGGCAGCCTTCACTTTGTCTTGCAGGTTATCACTATGGGCCCCCATACTCCCAGGCTCCTCTGGAACATTCCCTTGGAGGGTTAGTCTACATTGCACCCTAACCTCCAAAATAATGGGTGCGTCCCTCAGATGTGGGGTAGCTATTTCGCCATCCCTGTAAACCTCTGCTCCGGGCAGTGTGGGGACAGATGGGAGGGAGGGAGAAGGCTTCACTGACTGCCCTGCTGCCAGCAAAATTTCTCAGCTCTTATTTGCCACAAAATGGTCAATGGGAGCTGGGAGATTTTGCTGTGGGGTGGGACAGGGCACACAGCCCCCGTCCTCGCTCCCAGCATAGAACAATATTGACCTCCCATTGTTCAGCAAATTCTCTGGTTAGGCACCAATCAGGTCTTGAGAGTGTCAGACTAGAGAGGTTTAATCTGTATTACAAGCATCATTGCACTTTCAGCATTAACTTAGTGTAAGCCCTTGCCCAGTCCAAGAACTATGATTTGATTGGGATAGTGGATACTTGGTGGGATGACTCACATGACGGGAGCGCTATCATGGAAGGGTATAAACTGTTCAGGAAGAACAGGTGGGGAAGAAAAGGAGGAGGAGTTGCACTATATGTAAGAGAGCACTACGACTGCTCAGAGCTCCAGTATACGAGGAAGAAAAACCTGTTGAGAGTCTATGGGTTAAGTTTAAAGGAGCAAACAACAGCAGTGATGTTGTGGTTGGTGTCTGCTCCAGGACACCGAATCAGGTGGATGAGGAAGATTAGGCTTTCTTCAGACAACTGAGAGAAGCTTCCAGATCGTAGGCCCTGGTTCTTGTAGGGGACTTTAATCACCCTGACATCTGTTGGGAGACCAACACAGCAGTATACAGGCAATCCAGGAAGCTTTGGGAGAATGTTGGGGATAACTTCTTGGTACAAGTGCTGAAGGAACTGACCAGG